ACATGTGTGTGTGCATGTGTGCACTAGAGGTTCCTGTCAAGTCTCTTCCTCACTACACTCCACATTCTCTCACTTGGGCAAAGCTCACAGCCTAGGCAGCCAGCTTGCTTCAGAGATCTCCTGTCTCTGCCTCCCTAGTGCTGGGATTACAGGTGAGCAACCACCCTTGCCTGGCATCTATGTGAGTGCTGAGAATCTGAACTCAGGTCCTTACACTTGCACAGCACTTTGCCCACGGGCATCTCCCCCCCCTCCCCCAGCTCCTGGTTCACTCCTCTATGTCACATATCTCTAGTCTGAATATGGAAGTTTTCCGCTGGTCTTTGTCTGAGGTCTGAAGTGATAGTGGACTTTAGGCTTGTACACAGCTGCTGTGGGAAGAAGGGAGCCTCTTCCTGGGAACCTACCCGGGGAGAGCAAGCTCAGAAGCCTAGTAACTAGTGAACATGGGCTCATTTAGAAAAAACTATTTTTTCCTAACATGTTATTACTTTAAAGACTCAAATGTTAAGGTATATTTCATATCTACAATTTCTGCAATAAGGTCTCCCAGACTTCCCTGAATTGAGATCATCTAGTAGAGTTGGGAAGGAAGTTTGACCCAAACCTTCACTTGAGGGACCCGAAGAGCACACACCCACCTCACCAGTAAAACCAAACGCTTGTTTTCTTTCTTAAGCACAGAGTGTATTTCTAATAAAACTTTCCACAAAGTGAAATGCACTGTGTTGTGACTTATCAAAGTGAAATGTAAAAAAAATTTCATTATTTTCCCAGAGAAATATCAATAGTCCTGTGGGAGGTACAAGTTTTTTCAGCTGTCGATTAACCATTATTAAAATGGTGGCAACGAATACATTCAAGACTGTAGATAAGATAAAGAGATGAGATGAACTAGTGCAGAAAATTTAAATCTAACTGGAAAACTTCATTTTTGGACAAGATAGACATGTTTCTATTCTTCTTGCTAGGGACAGTGAAAGCTAAGGACTGTGTATAGAATAATTAGACGTCGGAAGGAAGAAAGGCCTCAGAGGCTAGAGACCTCAGGATCTAAAGAGCAAGATGCACATGAGTTCCCTGGGGGGTATTTTTGGTTTTATATATCTACATCTCACCATAAATGGCAAAAGGTACAGACAAGAAACACTCTAAAGCAGTGGTTCTCCGCCTTCCTAATGCTGCAACCCTCTAGTACAGTCCTTAATGTTATGGTGACCCCCAACCATAAAATTGTTTTGTTGCTACTTCATAACTGAAATTTTGCTACTGTTATAAATCATAAAATAATTATCTGATATGCAGGATATCTGATATGTGACCCCTATGAAGGGGTCATTTGACCCCCAAAGGGGGTCACAACCCACAGGTTGCTTAAGCAAAACCTTCTCTCTTAGGAAAAGAACCAAACAATGAATAGCCTAGCAAGTGAGGATATTGTTAGGTAATAAATGTGTGACTCAGCACAATGGCAAGCTGAGCTCTGCTCCACATCTTGACAGCAAAGGCTCGGAAGCGAGCCCTTTACTCTGGATTCCCTACAATAAACTCTTCTTGAAAACCTGAGCAATGTCATAGTGGGGGCAAGGCCTCCACTGAGCTTTCAGCAGCCACCTGGGGAGCAGTAAAAAGGCACTCCCCCAACCTGGAGTAAACGCCAGGCAGGCAGAACCGGGAATTCAGCTCCCTTCTAGAAGGATCAATGCAAGTCCCAGCCTCCCTACCAGTACAGTGTCAGAAGACATCTGCTTACACCGAAGACGGGAATAGGATCTGGAGTCTTGTCTTAGCTTCTTTCTTGTTGCCATAGTAAACTGCCCTCAACAAAAGCTACTTAAGGGAGAAGGGGTCATTTTGGCTTACAGTTCCAGGGGGACACAGTCCTTCACGGTGAGGAAGACAGAGGGCAGGAAAGGCATCGCAACAGGAGTAGGAGGCTGTCTACCACATTGCATTTGTTCTTAGAAAGCAGAAAATGAATAGGAAGTGGGGTTTGAAACCTCAAGGCCCACTTCTTGCAGCAATACTCCACCTCCTAAAGGGTTCCACAACCTAAATAGCACCACCAGCTGGAGACCAAGTGTTCAAATAAATGACCCTGTAGGGGACATTCCACATTCAAACCATGATACCTATCATACCTAAAATATCCACGATACATTTTTAATTTTTATTTTCTATCATGTGTGTAATACATTTATGTGTGTGTATCCATATGCACATGCAGGTAAGCATGCATTTGTGTGCATGTATAGGCCAGAAATGTATGCTCTATGTCCTCATCAATCATCCATTACCTTATTTTGAGACAGGGTCTTCCACTGCACCTTGAGCTTCACAGATTCCCTTAGGCTGGGGTGGGGGAGCAATGAGCTTCTGCAATCTGGCCATTTCCCCACTCTACCCGCACACTAGAGTCAGATTCAATCTGCTGTTCCTGGCTTATCTATTTTTAACGTGCGTGTATGGATACAGGGGATTTGAACCTATGTCCTCATGTTTGCATGGTAGGCACTTTACCCACTGATCCATCGTCCCCTGCCCTGAAATACTCAAGACACAAACATAGATAGATAGATATCACTCATATGCCAAGACCCCAGGAAATTTTAGCTAAAGAAGAAGCACAGCCAATGAACTCCAACATCTAGATGTTGGAATTATCTGACAAGTATTTAAAAACGCCTGAGATGAAAATAATTTGGTGAGCATTTATGAACAAACTTTTAAAAAATAATTTTGCTTTTTTTGTTTTGTTGTTGTTCTTTGAGACAGAGTCTCTCTTCACAGCACTGGCTGTCCTGGAACTCACTATGTAAGCCAGGTAGGTCATCCTCAGACTCACAGAGATCTACTTGCCTTTGCCTCCCAAGCACTGGGATTAAAGGTGAGCGCCAGCACACCCAGCTATAAACAAACTTGTAACAAAGGTTTTTAAACAGAGTCTCAGCAGGAAACAGTTTGCACAAAGAAAAGAACATGAGGAAGTGAGTGCAAGTTTTCAGATCTGAAAATTCAATAACTGAAACAAACTCACCAAAGGGGCTCAGCAGCAACATGGGGAGGCAAAGGAAGGACCCACTTGTTTGTCAATCAGCTTGAAGACAGAACAGTGGCTATTCTCCAACCAGAACAACTCTTAAGTTCTGGTTAAAAACTCTGGAAATAGATTTTTTAAAATGAGTACTGAGAGCCCTGGGGAGAGGGCTCGGTGTTCTGTGGGAAGAATGATCTGAATAGCCAGGCTACTCTCAAATGAATGCGCTTTTTAGGTAGGCAGCAAGCAGAAGAAAAAGAAGGAAACAGCCGAACAGGAAGGAGGCAGACACTTACGTCATCCAGCAGAAAGCCACGGGGAAGCCTGGACAACAGAAACAGTCATGGAGCCTCTGATCCACACGAGGGCTCCAGGAAGAATGTCTTCTAGTAGGTGAGACTGCAGATGAGCCGTCCCCACCACAGCCATCTTTCTGTAAGGAATGATTGGCCTTCCAGCTGTGATGGAGGACACATTGTTTAGACTCAAACACTTCACCCTCTTCTGTTCTTATGCACATGGTATTTTTATTCTTTTGGCCGGTTTGCTCTTCTTCTTCTCCTTTCTCACAGGGTCAGCCAGCCTGCCCATCCTCAGACAGGAAATCTTGTGAGACACTTAGAGAGACATGCTCGGGTATGCAGTGTGTGTATGTGTGGGGGCGGGGGTGGCAACCCTATATCCACAGCCAGCTTCTCAACGAACTTAGACAACACATTACAATTTATTAATAAAATGCATATTATATTCAGCCGGTAAAGGGCCTAGCATATAAGCATTAGGATGTGAGTTCAGATCCCTAGCACAAACCTGAAGTTAGGCATAGCTGCTAGGTCTGTAATTCCAACACTGGGAGCAGACCAGGGGCTTGCAGGCCAGCCAATCTCACCAAATCAGCAAAGAGCTTCAAGTTGTGGGCATATTAGGGAAGGCAAGGGAAACAGCACACCCTTGCTGACTAGAAAGGAAAGAGGGCCGAAGTGCTGCTGTAGACATAAGGACAACAGACAGTGGAGAAAGACTGGCATGCTGGAGAGTGAAGGACGGGCGGGCACAAGTGGAGGTAGGATGAGGAAGAGAGCAGCTACCTCCGAGAAAGGAAAATGGGAAATGCTGACCGAGATAATTTCTCTCTCTCTCTCTCTCTCTCTCTCTCCCTCACTCCTTTTTTCCCTCTCTCTCTTTCTTCTTCTTGAGACAGGGTTCCATTTATCCCTAGCCGCGAACTCCCTACGTAGCCGTGGATGAACTTAAATTTCGGATCCTCCTCTCCTCACCTGAGTACTAGGATTGAAGGCATGTGCTAGCACGTTCTGTTTATGGAGTGCTGGGGATCGAACCCAGAACATTTAGGCAGGCACCTTACACACTAAGCTACACCCTCCAAGTCCCAAAACATCTTATTTAAGGGGACATGAGGGAAACTGTGTGTCTCCTCTCAGTCACCTGCTGAAAGGAGGAACACGCCTAGACGAACGACTCGCAGACTGAGGCCGCAGAAAGATGATATGAACACCCAGAACAGAGACTTTCAGGCAAGCTAAACCCAAGTTTTCAACCGTGCCACTTAAAGCTGTAAAACAGCAAACTGTCCACCAGGTGACGGTATCTGCGGAGACTCGCATATCCCATCAGCCCTGGCGCTCTGGCTGGAAGAAGGCGTCGAGGTGACTCTCTGGCCCGCCACGCCTCTACTCTCCTGTCCCGACTGACGTTGGGCAACAAAGATGGCGGCGGGAACCAGCAATTACTGGGAAGGTGAGGGCAAGGCCTCCGGGTGGGTCCCTTCAGGCGCTGAGGGGACAGAGTGAGGCTGGGTCTTGAGGAGACAGCAGAGGGAAGACACAGACCTCAGGAACGGCCACGCTGCGGGATGAGGTTGTCCGAGAGGAGCCCCGGGCCTGGGAACTTGAGGAAGGGGCTGGGGCGGAGTGAACCGGATCTGGGAAGGGGTTGGGCCGAGTGGAGGGAGCCGGGGTGGAAAGGAAGAGGCGCCCGGGGCTCCGCGTGGACCTGTCGGAGGGGTGGTGAGACTCTGCGGATGGGACTTTGGGGACGAACTCTTGCGAGGAGACGAGTGCTGAGCCAGAAGCTCCAGAGCCCGGAAGACGAGTAGTCAGAGCCTTGGAGTTGCGGCCACTGTCAGAAAACTAGGAGTGAGGGAGGAGCTTGTGAGTCCCGGCCTTGGGGGGCTCCCAGACATTGGCCGTGGAACGTCTCTTCCTGGACCCCTATTGGCAATTTAAGAGCGAGACTTTATCGAAGATTGGGTGACAGAATGCTGAAAATAACTACCGTCTGTTCCGGAGTCCGAGATCAGTTTTGTTAAAATGATCAAGGATTCTAATTGATAAATTTGCTTTCCTCCCGCCAAGAGATCATTCGGGTTGCTGTTATTTAATTCCTGAAAATCTACTCTAATCAAGTGAGGTCATATAAAACATTCCTAGACCACGACGAGCCACAAAGATCAGAAATGGCTTCACCTTTTCATTTAACTGTTTGCTGCTTTACTTTTTTTTTAAACCTATTTCCTCTTTGCGAGCAATAAACCCCCGCAAAGTATGGCATTGTCATCATCAACCACTTGATGACTGAATTTTAAGTTCCCGTCTGCCATATTTTCAAAATGCTTTCTACTCGGTGTTTCCCATTAGACAAAAATTGCGAGCGTTACAGAGAAACATGCCTAGACCTTAAAACGTATTTTAAATACCCTTACCGTAGCTAAGATTTACCTTTAAATTATGTATAAGTGGCAGCTGGTATCTTTGATAGTCGTTAGGCTATGAAGAGCAAGCCGTTATTGGCAGTATACCTTGTGCCAGATGTTTTAAGCATGTATGGAAAACCCTGGAGGTAGAGGTTTAAAAACTGAGAGCTAAAGTTTTTAGATGAACTGAATCGTCAGTTAATCTCAAAGGCAGTAGGGGACCGAGCTGGCATTCGAAGTGGGATTTGGTCTCTGGGTACATTACTCCATCATCCAACTTCGCTTCCTGCCTTTCATTGCCTCCGTGTTCTTTAGTCCTGAGACATTCTCACCTTATCCCTGCCTGTATTTCAGTCCTGAACACTCAGATATGTCTAGGAGTTTCCCGGTATGGCTCCTTTCAGCCAGCCCGTTAGAAGCCAGGCTCGGACACCTGCTTACCTGTTTGCTTCTACTTTTAAGACATAGGCTTATAAAACACCTGTCACGTTTGTATTTTGTCCTGTTCATGGTGCATCGTTTTTAGCCTCTATTTTCCCCCAGTGTTTTTGAAGAGCAATTTTTAATTTTTTGTTGATTTGCTCTTTTTGTATGTTTGTTAAGGTATTTTACCTGTATGAAAAGAATCCCAAAGTCCTAACAAAACTGTGAAATGTAAAAAGAAAATTCTTTCGAAATGAATGCAGGCATCTTATCCAGTTAGCTGGTGAATTGATCTGCTGGTCATAACCATTTTCGTTTCTTCGGGCTTTATATTCTCTTCTTGTTTTCCTTCAAGTTACAACTTTGGGTTATTGCTGTAAAAGTAATCTCAGGTATGTCAGGGCATTGGTTGGTGGCAGGTTGTGTGTCTCCCACCACTGCTTCCCTTAGTACTCCTGTCTGAAGCTTAATTACGGGACTAATTTACTTTCTTGGGTAAGTCCTCAGTTTCCGGGGAAGTAGATCAGAGATCAATACATGATAGTTGGCTTTCTCCAAAATAGTCTTGTGATTTTTAATGTCTGTTAGTGGAAAATGATTTGTTTTTATAATTTCCTTGAAGATCTCAGGAAACAAGCTCGACAGCTGGAAAATGAACTTGACCTGAAACTAGTTTCCTTCAGCAAACTGTGCACGAGTTACAGTCACAGCAGTGCCCGGGATGGAGGACGCGATAGGTATAGGTACTACCGGCTTCTCTTTACCTTCAACTCGATGATGCTTTTAAAGTAAACTGAAATACAGAGCTCTCTGACCTGGTCTGCTGGATTGTTGATGTTTTAATTTCTTTGTTATTGTCTTTGTAGGGGGCGTTGTTTTATAAAAATTCTAATTCTTGAAACTAACATTAGGTCAGGGCTTTAGGCAAAGATTGTGATAGCTCAGAAAGAAACTTCTAGAGTTTAAAAATGAGTTTATATTGATGATGGTTTTGATGCCAGGCCGGTACACCTGTTACCCCAGCACTTGGAGGCTGAGACAGGAGACACACGATTGTACACTCACTTTGGGCTCCATGACATCCAAAGAAGTTTCAGTCTCAGTCCACAGAAACGTCTGATTAGCTCACAAAGATTTTGTTTTGCTTTTGTTTACTTTTGTTTTTCAAGACAAGGTTTCTTTGTGTAGTCCTGGCTGTCCTGGAACTCACTCTATAGACCAGGCTGGCCTCGAACTCACAGATTTGCCTGCCTCTTCCTCCCCAGTACTGAGATTAAAGGAGTGTGCCACCACCACCTGGCTGATTCTGTTTTCCAATTTCTGAATGAAACTGAGGAGTTACCTAAATGCAAAACATACAAACTGTTTTTCCGGTATTTATTCTTTTAGAATGAATCTAATGCAGGACGCTCCTCTTTCTTAAGGACATGGCCTGCAAAGTTAACAAGGCTGGTGTGTTGATTTGGGACCTAAAAATGTTAGGAGCATGCCCATGGACTCCAGTGCAAGACAGTGCTTTGCACACTCACTCATCAAGTAAGGAGAGTGAGGATTCTTTTTCAATAAATAAATTTGTCTTCAGAAAGCTTTTTCCCAGATTTAAAGCATGCGTTGGTTTTGCCAATGAGTATACAATTTGAAAACTCAAGTCTGTCAGGAAGTACTATTGCAGGGTGCTTTTTCTGTGTCTCTGCTTGGATTCCCTTTAAAAGAAACATTCTGAGTTCAGCTACAGACTGGGACTGATTGTGCTTTCGCCAGAGAACCTGGGGCTGTGAGGACACAGGCTGAGGCTGGAGCTCTATGGCAGGGACTTGCCTGGTGGCTATGAGGCCCTGCCTGTGATCCCAGCACTGGAAACTAAAGATGACTGTGCATGCTGAGGCTTTGGGTTGAAGCCCAGATGGGAAGCATGCCGCATGAGTAGTCAGCAACCACCAGAGCTTTTCTTTACAAATCTTGGGTTTTGCTTTGCTTTGTTTTGTTTGTTGTTACTATTGTTTTGGGGAGTCTTGGGTTATTTTCTTTGTTTTTTGCTTTGTTTTTCTGTATGTTGAGAATCAGAAGGTCTGTGGATCATCACACATTATCAAGTGAATTAGATTTTTTTAAAAGATTTATTTATTATGTATACAACATTCTGCCTCGATATATACCCGCACGCCAGAGGAGGGCGCCAGATCTCAGTACAGATTGGCTGTGAGCCACCATGTGGTTGCTGGGAATTGAACTCAGGACCTCTGGAAGAGCAGCCAGTGGAGTGCTCTTAACCTCTGAGCCATCTCTCCAGCCCCCAAGTGAATTAGATTGAACTGAATCCTAATAATGTAGAGAACAAGGTTTTGACCTGGACTTCTCTACTGTCCTAAGAATGATGAATATGGGATATCCCGTAGTAGAGATTGCCCTGTTACTCATTCATTCAACAAATATTTAAAGAACAGTAAACAGTCAACATTTGCCAGGTGTTAGGCATGTGGCCATAAAAAAGGCAGAGGCAGTTTCCTTCTCTGGTGTCTATGGGCCCACTGTTCTTTTAAATGTATGTGGTAGGGGGAGGGTTTATATCAGTGAGAAACAGCTTTTTGGTGGTTGCACATTCTAGGAGAAGCCTTCACAACTTTGTCTTAGCTGTGGCACAGTAAAGAAATGATCCCAACCTCCACACCACTCCTTTTATCACTGTGTAGCTCAGGCTGGACTCAACCCTCTCACCTTCCTGTCTTGGCCTCCCAAGTGCTGGAATTACAAACGTATGCCACCATGCCTGACTAAGAACTAGGTGTTTTTATGTCATGTTGCAAGGCATTTAAATGGGAATATTTATAGAACAAATAAGGCTTAAGACCTAGTTAAAGGTCTAAAGTAAGAATCCTTATTAAAGCCAGGCATAATCCTAGCACCTAGAGAATAGAGCAGAAAGATCACAAGTTCCAGGCTAGCCTGGCCTATGTATACAAAGCAAGCATCTGTCTTTAAGAAGTAACCATCTGGGGCTGGAAAGATGCTCAGCAGCTGTGCACTCTTTCTGCTCTTACAGAGTACCCAGGTTAGACGCTCAGCAACTACATGGCATGCTCACAACTGCCTGTAACTGAATGTCAAGGAAATCTGATGCCCTCTTCTGTTCTCTTCTGGCTCCTACATGCACATTATGCACATAAACTCACATAGGGAAACAAACGTACCCATAAATAATGTAAAATAAACAATCTTTTTTAAAATTCTTTTTTTTTCCATTTTGGTTTTTCGAGACAGGGTTTCTCTGTAGCTTTGGATCCTGTCCTGGAACTTGCTCTGTAGACCAGGCTGGCCTCAAATTCACAGAGATTGGCCTGCCTCCACCTTCCAGTGCTGGGATTAAAGGCGTGTGCCGCTGTCACTGGCTAAAAGGTTCTTATTAGCCATTTTTTGGCTATTTCACTGATTGCTTTTGTTGTGAATGTGAATCGGGAGCAGTGGAGGCTAAGGATCTCTTTGACGACAAATTGATGATGTAGTCTTTGAGTCGGCACATCCGAATGCTATACAAGGGCAGGAAAGGGTCTTCACTAAGGGTGGAGAATGTAATCCATTTTATTTGTGTGAAGAATAACTCGTCTGTAGTGAGGCGCATATGTGGGCTCCTGATAAAAGGGACTGGTTTTTCAGAGAGGTAAGTGAAACTGTCAGGATATGTGATTTTAAAATTGAAGTCTGCCAAACATCTTTCATCTGCAGAAGAGTCAGATTCTGACCGACTGTTGTGATACCGAAAGGCATTAAAGACGCTCCCGTGAAATAGGCTGAGGTGCATGCATGCCGTGTGGAGGTGTGGAGCCTGTGCGGCAGTGCGCTGCCCGGGGCTCTGTGGGCCTTCGTGCTCACTCCTGACTTCTTGATAACTGCTTGTCTAACCGGGTCATTTAAATCTCAAATCTCAGTATATTTCTTTTTCGGAATCTCTAGAGGAAGAGAGAATTTAAAGGCATAAGAAACTATAATTTTGGGGCTGGAGAGATGGCTCAGGGGTTAAGAGCTAGGCTGCTCTTCCAGAGGACCTGAGTTCAATTCCCAGCAACCACATGGTGGCTCACAATCATCTGCAATGAGATCTGGCGCGGCCACTTCTGGCCTGCGGGCAAACATGGAGGCAGAAAACTGTATACATAATAAATAAATAAATCTTAAAAAAAAGAAACTATAATTTTGGAGAAAAACTAAAGGTTATTTTTCACAGGCCCCAAATGGGATCTATAATCCATTTTTTTTCTTCACTATTTGAAGGAGTTTTTGGCTTCTTTCCCATTATTTGTTATTTCAGATTCAGAATTTTAGTTGCATAGACTGTTTTCTATCATTTGGGGAATAGTTCGTAGCATTCGAAATGTCTTTATAGTCATTTGTATTTTTAGGACACGTGGGATACTTTTAAAAAGAAAAGTGAATCATAGTTAAATTTTTTTAAAATTGCACTTATTTATGTAGAGGGGCTAGAGTGTGCACTGGCAGGGGACAACTTATAGGAGGAGTCAGGTCTCTCTTACCATGTGGATTCCAGGAATTGAACTCGGGGCATCAGGCTGGCTGCAGGCACGTTTAGCCACAGAGTCATCTTGCTGACCGTAAAAGCATAATCTTTAAAGAAGTAGAACAAATGTTTCAGGGTTCATTTGACCTCTTGAAGAAAATTATTGTCTTATTTTAAGGCTCTTTTAGATACTAAGTAATGGATTTTTAAATTAAACTTCTCTTTAGTTCAGACACAACGCCCCTCTTAAATGGATCAAGTCAAGACAGAATGTTTGAGACGATGGCAATTGAAATTGAACAGCTTTTGGCAAGAGTAAGTGCTTTTGGGTAAACAACTAGTTTGCCATTTGTTGGATATGTTGTTTATTGAAGTCGTCCATTCATTCAAGGTGTGTTCTTCCTCCAACCACTTGCATTTTAGTGGCAGCCATCCAGATTGTAGCAGATACCATTTGTGGGAACTGCTGACTAAGTCTTACCTTACTGTCAGCTAAGAGGACATATAGGCTTATAATTTACTTGAGTTATTTTTAGTTGTTTTTAAAATATTTTCTCCTTTTCTTCCTAGCTTACCGGGGTAAACGATAAAATGGCAGAATATACCAACAGTGCTGGAGTCCCCTCATTGAACGCAGCACTGATGCATACGTTGCAGCGACATAGAGACATTCTACAGGTGATGTGTTGGGCAAAACATTTATGTTATCAAGGTAACATGGGAGAGGGCTAGTTAACTCTGTTTAGAATGTCAAAAGTATAACAAAACACAGTAAATGTTTAAAGATTTATTAGGTGGTATTATAATACAGAAGTGCAAATTAGAAGGCAAAGTTTTTATTCTTATTTTTTAATTTTTTGGTTTTTCAAGGCAGGGTTTCTCCGTATAATAGCCCTGGCTGTCCTGGAACTCACTCTGTAGATCAAGCTGACCTTAAACTCACAGAGATCTGCCTGCCTCTGGCTCCCAAGTGTAGGGATTAAAGGCATGCGCCACCACCACCCGGTGGCAAACTTTTTTATTACTGAGAAAAGTAATCAGCCTTTATAACTTAAGAACTCTTTAATAATTTATTTATTTTTATTTTACGTGCATTTGTATTTTGCCTGCACGTATGTCTGTGAGGGTGCCAGATCCTCTGGAACTGGAGTTAAAGAGAGTTATGAGCTGCTCTGTGGGTGTTAGGAATTGAATCCAGGTCCTCTGGAAGAGCCCCTAGGCTCTTAACCACTGAGCCAATTCTCCAGCCCATTTAGACTCTTTAAAAATTGGTATATACTCAGGAGTCAGAGGCATTGGGGTGACTCACTTACAGTTCAGTGAGTTGAAGGCCAACCTGGTCTACGTAATGAGTTCCAGGTCAGCCAGGACTGTGGAGTGAGACCATGTCTGAAGGTGGTGGCGGCGGCAGTAGTCAGAGCCTGGAGAGATGGCTGGTTGGTCAGAGTACTTGCTATGAAAGCAAGAGGATCTGAGTTCACATCCCTAGGACCTGTATACAAGCCAGGCATGGCCACGTGTACCTCTAACTCCCAGCACTGTGGAGATGGACACAGATGATCCTATGAACTTGCTGGCCAACTCTCGAAGCCAAGACAGGAGAACAGTAGAAGAAGATACCCACATTCATTTCTGGCCTCTGCATACATGCATATAGGAAACACAAACGTGCATGCACACACACACACACACACACACACACACACAAAGAAAAATAGGAATATCTTTTTGAAAGTTTCCTTTCCTGCATTTATTATTTATTTGTGTGTGTGTGCATGCACGTGTGAGCTCTTGGGGTTGAACTCAGGCCATCAAGCTTGGCAGTAGTGCCCTTACCCACTAAGCCATATTGCTGGTCCACAAATAGGAATCTGAGTACGGTGGCACATAGCTATAATCCCAGCACCTACAAAGCAGAGGCAGGTGGATTGCCACAAGTTGAAAGTCAACCTGATCTGTGTAGTGAGTTCCAGGCTAGCCAGAGCTACCTAGTGAGACCCTGTCTTAAGGGGGAGAGGGGAAGAAAACAACAACAAAAAAATGAATAGAATTATAACTCAGTGGTAGAATTTGTGATTAGCATGCACAAGGCCCCAAGTTTAGTCTCCAGAAGTGCAAGTGTGCACCTTCGCTGCCTGAGATAGGGTTTCTTTTTGCTGTTTTTGTTCTGTTTTTCAAGACAGGGTTTCTCTGTAGCTTTGGAGCCTGTCCTGGAAACTTTTAGACCAGGCTGGCCTCGAACTCACAGAAATCTGCCTGCCTCTGCCTCCTGAGTGCTAGGATTAAAGGTGTGCGCCGCCACCACCCAGTTTAGTTAGGGTTTTTATTTGCTGTGAAGAGACACCATGATCACAGCAACTCTTATAAAAGGGAAAAATATTTAATTGGGGTGACTCACTTAGGGTTCAGAGATTTAGTCCATTATCATCATGGTGGGACAGGATAGCATGCAGGCAAACATGGTGCTGGAGAGATAGTTTTGAGTTCTGCATCTTGCAGAGGCAACAGGAAGTGGTCTGTCTCACTGGGCATGGCTTACACATATATGAGACCTCATAGCCCACCTCTACAGTGACACTTCCTCCAACAAGACCATACCTATTCCAACAAGGCTATACCTTCTAATAGTGCCACTCGCTTTTTTTCAGACTACCACACATGCATTCACAAACACACATAAAGAAGGACTAAAAATAATTTGCCTAATGCAAAAATATGAATGTCAGGTTGAGAACTAGGATTATGACCAATGATAAAACACTGAAAGCATTCTTACTAAAGAAAAGGGGACTCCAAAGTCACAGAGAAACCCTGTCTCGAAAAACAAAAAAAGGGGGGGGGGGAGCTGGGGATACAACTTAGGTGGCAGAATGCTTGCCTGTTATACACAAATCCCTGAGTTCAGTTCCCAACTCACATAGAACTAGATGTGCTGGTACGGGGCTATAGTGCCAGCACTTAGAAGGAAGAGCAGGAGAGTCAGAAGGTAAAGGCTGAAGTAGACTAAATTAGATTCTGACTCAAAGAAAGAAGGAAGGAAGGAAGGAAGGAAGGAAGGAAAGAAGGAAGGAAAGGGTGCTTATAACTACCATAAATGTCTGACTTGCTTTGGAGTTTGTTTGTACAGTTAGTAAAAACCTGAGAGATCAATATTTGAAAGGAAGAGGCAAAATTCCTAATATGTAGCCTCAGAAGATCATATATGTCTGATACACCAAGAAAGTTAGAAACAAATTCAGTAAAGATGATATATATAAAGCAAGCCATTATCCTCTATATAAATAATGACCTATTAGGAAATATAATTAAAGGGGCTTGGGAGCCAGGAACAGCACAGTAATAGTATAAATGAGGCCCTTATTCAGTCCTGAGCCCCAGAAAATGAAAATGAACCCCCCCCCTCTCTCTCTCACACACACACACACACACACACACACACACGCACAGAGCCAGATGTGATGCTGTACACCTGTAATCCTAGTACTTGGGAGGTAGAGTCAAGAGAATCAAGAGTTCAAAGCCCTCTTGTGGGGTAAATGAAACAACCTTACATACACATGTAAAGGTGTACTGGGGGGGAGGGGGCTGGAGAGATGGCTCAGTGGTTAAGAGCATTGCGTGTTCTTCTAAAGGACCCGAGTTCAATTCCCAGCAACCACATGGTGGCTCACAACCATCTGTAATGAGGTCTGCTGTCCTCTTCTAGCAGGCATATATGCAAACAGAATATTGTATCCATAATAAATAAATAAATATTTTTAAAAAAAAGGCATACATGGGAAGTGATTTTTTTTTTGTTTGGGGTAGTCTCTATGCTCTAGCTTTGTAGTCTAAACTTGCCCCTGACTTTCAGTCCTCCTGCCTCAGCCTCCAAATGCTGACATTACAGGTGTGTGACCATATAGCTCTTTATTTTCTTTCTTTCTTTCTTTCTTTCTTTCTTTTTTTTTTTAATTAATTGGTTTTATTTTGAGACAGAGTTTCTTTTAGCACAAACTGTCCTTGAATTCCTGATCTTGTTCCACCTCGCAAGCACTGGGATGGCAGGTGCGCACCAGCCAAGCCAGACGTCCTTTACTTACTTTAGAATGGTGAGACAATACCAGAGTTCATTTAGAATCCCAAGAATAACCAGGAATAAAGCTTAGTACAGTTCTGAAAGTGAAGATGAGCATTTGATTCTACCACATGTTAAGGCCTGTTTAAAACGAGGATAAAGCCGGGCGATGGTGGCGCACGCCTTTAATCCCAGCACTCGGGAGGCAGAGACAGGCGGATCTCTGTGAGTTCGAGACCAGCCTGGTCTACAGAACGAGTTCCAGGACAGGCTCCAAAGCCACAGAGAAACCCTGTCTCGAAAAACCAAAAAAAAAAAAAAAAAAAAAAAACGAGGATAATTGATAGTTTGTTTCTAGGGGCCAACCAAGTGACTCTGTGGGTAAAGGCACTGTCTGCCAAGCCTGCCAACCTGAGTTCAAACCTGGGTCACCACACGGTGGAGGGAGAGAACTAACACCTGCAAAAGAGATGTCCTCTGACCTGCACACATGCACCCCCACACACATGCATGCATGCATAAATTATAAAAACTCTCTGAAGATAGGTGCGTGTGCGTGTGCGTGTGTGTGTGTGTGTGTGTGTAGGTCAGTGGTCAACCTTTGTTAGTTAATTGTTCCTTAGCAGTTCTTTAGGTTTTTGAGGAAGGGTCTCACTAGGAACTGGGGCCTGCCAGTTTGGCTAGGATGACTGGCCAGTGAGCCCAAGGGCTCTTCTCTTCTCTGCCTCCTCACTGCTAGGATTACAGGCTACACTATCAAAACCTAGCTTTTTACAGCCTAGCAGGGATCAGATAGTGTTTAACTGGCAAATCTCTCTCTCCCTCTCTCCTGTCCTCCCTCTCCCCTCTCCTTCCAGCTCCCTCTTCCTCTCCCTCCCTCCTCTCCTCCCCTCCCCAACACCAAAGATTAAAAAGTAGAAAAAGTGTAAGAAAGGAGGGAGGACAGAAAAACTACTAAAGTTTTGAATAGAGCCTGGATGAAATTTGTAATTTCTGAGCAGTGATGAGCTAAGGAAGATCTAATGTCAGAAGCTACAACAAATGACTCATCTGTTTAATATACACAGAATTAATGTAAATAAGAGAGACAATAGGAAAATGGACAAAACTATAAACTTACTTGACAATGAAGTCAGGGTGTAGCTCAGTGGTAGAACATTTTTGCATTTGTAGCGTCCTAGGTTGGATCCCCAGCACTGAGAGGAAGGTGGGGATGGAGGCAAGGGTTTAAAAAAATAAACCATAAGTCTTATTAAGTACAACACTAAGTAGAAAAATCTCTCCCTTCTTTTACCCTATGCTACTTGAAGTCATTTTGTCTTAGTTTTACCTTTACAGTTTTATGTGATCAAGTACCAGGTGGTAGGGTGCTTAGTATTTGAAATGTGTAACCTGATGACCGTGCACAGCTACTTTAGAAGGATAAAAGCTCATCCATAGTTGTGTTGAGACTGGATGTTGATTTATTTCAGGATTATACACATGAATTCCATAAAACCAAAGCAAACTTTATGGCGGTACGGGAAAGGGAGAATCTGATGGGATCAGTACGAAAAGACATTGAGTAAGTTACCTTTCCTCTTACTGTTCAGAATGTTTATGTGGATTTAGGCTACATCTGTGGTTAATCACAAAGCAAGTAGCAAAACCAGGATTTAGGTTTTGTGGTTTCTGATTTCCATTCCATTGTCCTTTGTGCCTTTTTACAATATGGGCTGAATCTACTTTGCCACCTCCCAGTCTTCCCTTGCCAACCTTGATCTTAAGTCCAGCTTGAATGATCTCTTCCTGCCCATGCCAGGAATGGCATGATTGTCCGTTTCCCTGTCATTCACTTCTCTGTTGCCCTAGCTTTCTATATTCAGAAAGCTGTTAACATCCCTGAAACTCTGAAATGTGTTTGTATGTGAGCAAGTGTTTCCAGGTTTAATAAAAGTCAAAGCCTTATATGAAACTAAGAACCTTTAGCATTTTACAATGATCTTGGTCTTTTCTCCCATACCTTCACATCATCCTCTTTTTGTAGGCATTGGTACAGTTCAGGATTTTTAAAACATTTGTTCTTAAAGGACAGTTGTGGTGGCACACGCCGTTAATCTCAGCACTCGGGAGACAGAGACCAGTGGATCTCTGTAAGTTCAAGGCCAGCCTGTTCCACAGAGTGACTTCCAGGACAGCCAGTGCTACATAGAGAGACCCTGCCTCCCAAAAAGGAAGGAAGGAAGGAAAAGGAAAAAAAGAAACTAAGAAGGAAAATGAAAAAAAAGAAATTTTTATTACTAGTGGAAAGCAGGAAAATAATAATATTGGTAGAAGTAAATGTCACTTTTGTAACTTTATTGTGCTGGCAGTTAACGTGGAAATCCTAAAGCATGCATAGCTGGGTTCCAGTGCTCCTTGGGCTTGGGTGGTGAGGGACTGACCCTGCTGTGAAGGATGACACTGTTGGAGTAGCTCTCTTGCCTAGGGTGCCGGGTGCTGTGTGCTGATTAGTCTAAAGTTTTGCTTCTACTGGAGAAAATAATGCAGATCATACACAAAGGAAAAGTTGGATCCTCCTCAAGAAGAGTGGGTTAGTTTGAAAAACAGAAAACCCCGAAATCTAAACTGGAGAAACATATATCTTTTATATCTCTGGTAGTATTTTTCAAGAGAAATGGAAAACATTATATTCTGATTGTTGGAAATTATGGTCTAACTGGGGTTAGTTAGTCCCTTAACCTAATGGTACTGTATCTTCTAAAATGTTCTTGCCTTTTCTTGACATTGTTCTAGATCATATAAAAGTGGGTCTGGAGTAAACAACAGGAGAACTGAACTGTTTCTGAAAGAACATGACCACCTTCGAAAGTGAGTACTACCTGCTTTCTGTGCTTATAAAGACATTTTATTTATTATATTAATATAAATATTAATATAATATTTATTATATTAATTTCCGTGCTCCGAGTGGGTTCAGTAGAAATGGGTGGCAGCTCATCAGCCTTAATTAAAAGATGCCCTTCGAGGATTTTACTCTGCTCTTTGCTGCCTGCTGCTATGCTGCTGTTATCCTTACTGCAAGTTATTAACAGTATCCATAATAATGATACTGATAATTTATGTGGTCTTTTACCACTTTTTTATTGAAAAAGCTTTATAGAGAGTAGTAAGGCTAAATATCAAATGGAAAAAACAAACAAACAAAAAATTGTTTCCCAAGATTTCAGCAGAAAATGATTGGATGAAGGATATATGGTGTTGACAATAGCTCCTCTTCAGAGTTGGAACTTCACACCTAACTCCCCTGTCTGTGCTGGCATCTGGTCTGACTTGGGCTTGCATAGACCTTGTGCATATGTCACAACTGTTGTGAGCTCCTGTGTGTGCTTCCCCTGCTGCATTCAGAAAACACCGTTTCCTTGTCACCATCAACCAACTCTGGCTTTCACACTTTTCTGCCCTGTCTTCCACAGTGGAAGAGGGGTGTAGCATATATAATCCCTTTGGGGCTGAAAACTCTTATTCTCTGCATCTTGGCCAGTTTTGGGTCTGTTTTAATCATCACCTACTGCAAGCAGAAACTTTTTTGAGGATTGAGGGGTGCCTTAATCCATGGATATAGCCAGGTCATTAGGAGTTGCTTTAATATTATTAAGTCCTTTTGTCAGAATAATAGTAGTAAATTCTCTCCTGTAGCCTCTGATCTATCTAGCCATAAGTACTTAGCCTCATAATGGTGGCTGGTACAGATTTCATCTGGTGGAGCGGGCCTTAAATCCACTCAGAAAGTAGATGGTTACTCCTGTGGTGTTCATGCCACTGTTGCACCAGTGGCCATGTCTTGCTGGGCCAGTCATTATTGTGGCTTGCAGGCTTCACAGCTGGATATGATTAATGCTTTCTTTCTCTTCCAGTAGAGATGGAAGAGGGATTCTTCTGCTTGTTGGGCAAGCATACTGTCACTTAGTACACACCAGCCCTGTGACTGTGTGTGTGTATACACTATAATAACTATATTTCCTGTTGTAATAAGTATAATGAGATCTGTATGGGAGATTGAAATGTGTGGATTATAAATTTGAGGCAAGACTGAACAACATATTGAGACTTTGTCCTAAAATAGAAGCAGGGCTGGAGAAATGGCTCAGTGGATAAAGGTACTTGCCTGATGACATGAGATCAGTCCAAAGACCTGCATGGTGGAGGGAAAGAATCAACTCATATAAGCTGTCCTCTGACCTCTGCTTGTATGCTGTGACACCTGTGTACACACACACGTGCGTGTGCACATTCACACACATACGCATGGATGCACACAGAATAAATAAAAATGTAATTTTATGTGTGTGACTATTTTGCCTCCATGTATGTGTACTGCATGCACGCCTGGTGCCCAGAGAGGCCAGAAGAGGGTGCTAGACCTGTGGACTTGTATGAAAGGTTGTGAGACACCATGTGAGGATTGGGAACTGAACTCGAGTCCTCTGTATGGGTATCAGTTACTCTTAACTGCTGAGCCCTCTCCATCCCCTAATTATTATTATTTTTTAAAATAATATGTAAAGGGGGCTGGAGATATGGCTCAGTGGTTAAGAGCACTGACTGCTCTTCCAGAGGACCCGGGTTCAATTCCCAGCACCCACATGGCAGCTCACAACTGTCTGAAGATCCAGTTGAAGGGGATCTGACACCTTCACACCAATGCACATAAAATAAAGTTAAATAAAGCATAAAAATATTTAAAAAAAATATGTAAAGATTTATTTATATATGGTGCTCTATCTGCATATACACCTGCATGCCAGAAGAGGGCATCAGATCCCTTTACAGATAGCTGTGACCCACCATGTGGTTGCTGGGAATTGAACTCAGGACCTCTGGAAGAGCAGTCAGTGCTCTTAACTGCTGAACCATCTCTCCAGCCCCACCCCAACCCCTAATTTAAAAAAAATAGATATAAGATGGTTGGAGACTCCACAAATACTGTTTCTCCTCAAAATGTTGTCAATAAGTTTAGCATTCATATCTCAGCTTACTCAGACCGCAATGATCTTTCTCTTGGTGGTTTGGTTTCATCAGTCCTTCTTACATTGATTTTAGATCTGTAAGAAAGAGCTGTCTCTTAGTATGTTTTATTCTCTTCCTCAACATGGACTCAGATGCAAGTAGGGGTTTGTCTAGGACTATAGTTTCCTTGTTGCTCACATCACTGTACCTCATTGGGGTTAGCATCTGTCATGATGCTTTCCTGAGCTCGGCCACTTTATTAAGCATACTCAGTTTCTCTTATTAGCAAGTGTTACTCAGGAACTTAGATCCAAGTGTAAGGAAAGGTTCAGAAGGGTTCATTGTTGTTTTATTGCCATTGAGGTGATTGTTTCCAGGCTTCTTCTTGATAATAGTTTTTATCATTAATGGGGTTCAGTTTTTTAATTAATTAGTTAACTATTAAAGGGAATAATTGTTTCTCCTTAATTACTGTAATATGATGAATTACATTATTTTCAAACATTAAGCCAATATTAAATTCCTGGAATCCCACTTGATCATGAAATATTTCTTTTCTGTAATTGCTAGACTTATTTTAAGGAATTTTGCATTATTCTAATGAAATATAATCTAGTTTTCTATTCTGGAAATGTCATTGTGTGATTTTTATCACGAGTAATGTTGTCCCTTTTAAGTGACTTGGGATATATCCCCTTCCTGTTTTCTGAAAGAGCATGTTGTTTCCTTCTTAGGTATGTAGGGCTTACCAGTGAGTGCGTCCAGCTCAGGGGTTCCTTTGTGGTAAGGTTTTCCCGTTTTAAATTGTGTGGATATTTGTAGACAAAGGGCAAGCAGTCTGAATGTCCCTGGGCCAGTAGGTGGCTCACTATAATCAGCTCAACGAGAGGCATAAATCATTCTTGCTGCCAGAGGAGTTGGAAAACTACCAGAGAGAATGTGGTGTTCTCGGGGCCTCAGCGAAGTTCTTACCCACTGTTAGCATCCTTTTGGACTTTTCTGCTGTCTGCTAGACTACAGACTGTAAACAGATGGAGTGTGCTTAAGAGGGCCTTTTCACCTCATCCACTTACTGAAGGAAGTTTTACTTTAGTATTTCTTTCCTCCCCCGTTTCCTCAGGTGAATTAGCTTTTCCTAGGTCTGTAGTGCCCTCCATGTGGGCTCACCTTTCCTAACTGTCTTCACTCTGTTGCTTCATCGAATCATTTCTCCCTTGCAGCTGGCACCTGACGCACGGGCCTGTCTCCTTTTTCAGATACCAAGGCCTTTTCCTGTCTTCTTTGTGCCTTTACTTTGCTTGTCCACTTGTTTTCTTACTCTTCCAGAGAGCTTGTTTGTTGACAAGTTTAGGTTCTGTGCTTGCCTGTCCCTTCTAGGAAGCTGTTCCTACTCATTAACTCAGCCAGCCTCCCCTTGCTATGGCTTAATAAAGCTTCTTTCTTGTTTCCCTTGAAGCATTTATGACAATGTCTAATGGTTTGTTCTTTCTATCTTTTCCCTATCGGACCCTCCTTGATAAAAATTTCATAAGGCAAAACTTAGCCTGCTGTTAGCATGTTTGGTTCTCTGGCCCCATTGTGCTTGTTAACTTTTAATACCTGCTTCTATGAGTTGGTGGTTCTCAGCAAGGCTGGTCGTTCTGTTTTCTTAATGTATAATGTAATGTGAATATATACCATACCCTAGTGTAGAAGACTTACTTTATTCATTCGGTTATTCTCCAAATATTTATTGAATACTTACTATACACACTTAAATGTTAAATTAATTTTAAGAACTATAGGGAATATTAATGTAACCGGTTATGTTTTGCTTTGTAAAATGGATTCCTTGTGCAATCCTTTTGAAATGTTCAATTCTGGGGCTGGAGTGATAGCTTATGGTTAAGGTACTTGCTGCACAACCGTGAAGACCTAGATTTAGTCCCTTACACATCTGAGTCAGATGTGGTCCCACAGTTCAGTGACCCAGCACTGGAGCATGCAGCCAGGGTCACTGCGGCTTTCTGACACCAGCCTAGCTGGGAAACAGGAGCCCATGTTCAGGGAGAGACCCTACCTCAAAGGAACAGGCAGAGCGTGCTAGAAGGAGGACACCTGATACCCTGCCTGCTTCACGAGTCCACTGACACGTGTGCCCGCACACACAGAGAGAAAGGGTGAAGTTTAAATTCTTGAGTAAGTCTCTCAGAAGCCTCCCTCTGTGCAGAGGAAGAAACAAGACTCGGAGGGAATCATCACTGTTTAACAGTACAGCTTTACTCAGCACACATTTCCTATGTTTGGTATTTGTCCCACGCCTCATTGCCTTTCTTTCCTGTGAGTGTTTCTTTAAATTTTTATATTTGTTGTAACAAGGAACCGTCGTGGCCTAATTTTATAGAGAACTGAAAGACCAGTTACTCTGAAAGCACATTGCTTGGCTTCTCTTCAGTTTTTCACTTTTAAAATCGAATGAGAGCTGTGTTACATAAAGATGGATGCCATTAAAGTTAAGTCATTTTATAAAGTTAAATGCATTCTGGAGAGATGGCTCAGAGGTTAAGAGCACCGGTTGCTTTTCCAGAGGACCTGAGTTCAATTCCCAGCAACCACATGGTGGTTCCCAACCATCTAGAGTGAGATCTGGTGCCCTCTTCTGCAGGCATACATGCAGACAGAACACTGTATACATAATAAATAAATAGATAAATCTTTCTTAAAGCATTCTAAAATTCCAAAGAATTTATCTCCAGTAACTTTTCAGATATAGTGCCGTTATACAAAGCATGTCATACTTAAATAAGATTGATCACAGTATTTAGTTGATAACTTTCATTTGCTTTCATTTTGTTACCAACTCAGCAGACATTGAGAATATACACATTATCCGTTACCTTAGGTCTAACCATGTCTGTGAGTGAAGAAATAATTATTTTATTGCCTTTTAACTGTTGATTGTTTTCCATATGACATTATTCAGTTATGTTTAGGGTTTTGGTATTGTTAATTTCATTTTAAATTTTACCAACCATGTCATTTGTATACTCTAAAGTTTTTTGCAGAAATATTTTAGGTAGGCTCGATTTGTTTTGTGACAGGGTCTTGTATATCCTAGGCCAGCCTCGAAACCACTACCTAAAATATTTCTGCAAAAAACTTTAGAGTCAAAGACCTTGAACTTGTGCTTCTCCTGCCTATACTTAGTGCTGATTGCAGGTGTGTGCTTCCATGCCCAGCTTATGTAATACGGGGGTTGAACCCAGAGCTTCATGCATGCTTGGCAAGCACTCTACTAACCTAGTTATAGCCACAGTAGACTTTTTTTTCTTTCTTTTTTGAGACATGATATCACTGGGTAGTTAGTACTGGCTGGTCTGGAACTCACAGAGATTTGAGCCCAGGTCCGCTGATTTGATGTTCCTGTGCTGCTCCTCAAAGTAATGTGGATGGCATAGACTGCACAGGGTCGCTAAGATAATGCATGCCGAGACTTTGCCAGTCCTTCCTGCATACAGTACGTGTGTAAGATTAACAGACGTAAATAGTAGTAGGTCTGTACAGATAGCTCAGACATTGAAATTGAAGGCTAAGCTCACAACCAAAAAGACAAGAAAAGTAAATACTAAAAGAGAAAGAGACTACACTAAACAACCTTTTTATATGTGTGTGTTTAGGGGTCTGGAGAGATGGCTTAGCAGTTTAGAGTACATGCTGCTCTTGCAGAAGACTGGAATTTCATTTCCCAATCACTCATTAGGCAGTTCACAACTGCCAGTAACACTAACTACAAGAGAACCAATGCCTCTGGCCTTTGCAGGAACCTGCATTCAGGAACATGCACACATAATTAGCATAATTAATAATAAAAATAAGTCTCTAAAATTTTTCTACATGGTTGCATTTTAGGTTGTTTAATAAGTACCATAGAATTCAAGTTATATATAATTGTCAGCTATTATATCAATGAGTGAAGTAATGTAGATTCCTGGTATTTAAGGATCTGACCTTAGCTTTCTGGAGTGTTTATGAACTCCATTAACTCATGTAGTTTTGTTGAAAGGCTTGAGTGTTACTGAGTGTTACATGCTGTGGGGTTGCTGGCAGGGAAGCCTGGCTAACTGGTTAATAGTCACAGTCACCGTCTGGCAGCAGGCTTACACATCAGCCTTGCTCCTAAGTTCATATTTGCTGCTTGTTGTTATTCACATGTAGCTACAAGGAGGCAATTTATGTGCATGCATGCATGTTCTTTGGTTTTGTGTATGCATGTGTGAAATGTTACACCAGAGAGAAAATGTTTACAAAGCATTATTTGATTTAAAAAAAAAAAAGTGTTTATCATTGCTATGACCACACGCCAGACTGATAAAACTAAAAGGAAATAAAAACTTTAGTTTGGCTCCTAATTTCAGAGTCAATCAATGTTACAAGAAGGACATGATGATATTTAAGTCTTCCTCAGACAGCAGTGTTCTGAAGTGAAAATCTGGGAAGTACATTGAAGAAATTCTAAAGAATCTCTGAGCTGTGCCAGGGTCATTTGCATAGTAGAGAATTGGAATTTTAGCTTATGAGAACTGGTGGCATTTGTCTCATTATGTCTTTCATTCCATTCATGGGATAGCTCAAGGTTCCCTGCTACAGATTTGTCCCTAGTGATCCAGTTACCTACAATACTGAAATAAATGACAAAGCAGAATGATCAGGTTAGCCAAGATGACCTTGAACTTCTGATCCACTTGCCTTCACCACCCAAGAACTATGGGAAACTATAGGTTTGCCCCACAGCTGGTTCACAGTTGGAATCCTCCTGCCTCCACTTCCCAAGAGCTGTAGGCACACTGTAGTTTGCCCATAGCTGGCTCACAGTTAGGAGCTATGTTACACACGCTCGTTTTTCTTTATTTTGAACTTGTTAGATCAGTAGTGAAATCAAATCTGTTTTCAGTTGGCACATGATTTTCTTCCTTTTTTTTTTTTTGGCATACAACTTTCTTAAACAAGGCTTCAAATGGAGGAACTGTGTCACGAGGGATTATAAAATTGTGATTATAAAAATGTGTGTGTGTATCCTTCTGCAGAAAACTTATAAAGATTATAAGGATTATTTCATTGCTAATCCTGATTGATATTTTATTAGTACAAGAAGTGTCTGTTACTCGTTATTCATTCATTTATTAAGCATTTAATGAGCATCTCCTGTGTGCTAGGTACTGTACTAGACTCTGGGGAGTCAAAGATGCATCAGACTCAGTCCCTACCCCTGGGAACTCACACTGCTTAGAGAAGTAGTAAACAACACATCAGTGTGATATCCTGAGAGAGTGGGTTTTCAAGGTCTTACGTGAGAATTGATGTGAAAACCTTTTCTTTCTCTGTCGCACAATATCTGAAGTACATTATATTCCTGATTGAGTTGATGGGAGGGCATACTATTATGATGTAAAGAAGAATTGATTTTGCCTGTGTACACTGGTGTGTCTGGGGAAGCTTCAGAAAGATACAGCTTTCGGGCTAGACTTTGAGATGTGTAAGTTGTTAATGTTAAGCACGAGGGATTCGAGAGAGGCTGTGACTTAGAGTTCTTGCTGTTCTTTAGACCTGTGAAAGGAGACCCTAAACTAAAGAGCTGCTCAGGGACGTCAGAATGCTCAATGGAGATGAAGCATACCTTAGGTTCATGCCTTTGCCAGCAGCTTGCACTTAGATTATTGCTTGTGAGCTTTATGGTAGGAAAATTCCATGAGATCAGTTCGGACAGCTACATGCTTGAACCGTGACCGTAATGTAGGTTGAGCAGAAAAAAAAATGTATTTCTGGTTAGCTCTTACTCTCTATATAAGAGGAAGAAACCAATTACAAAGTGCTATTTAGTAGAATGTTGTGATTCATTTGGTTTTCTAGGTTCCCAGTCCTGTTTGTTTGTTTGTTTATTTGTTTGTTGGAGATAAGGTCTCTAGTATGCCAAGTTGGTCTAGAATTCTTTCTGTACCTAAGGATAACCATCAGCTTCCAATCCTCCTGCCTCTACTTTCCAAGTGTTGGAGTTCCAGGCATGTGCCACTGCACCCAGTCTGTACACCCTGAGTTACAATCCCAGCCCTCCAGACCTTTAAAACACAGTCATATAACAGAGAATAAACGGAGACTTGGGGGCATTTCATTTCTGCCACAGTTAAACACACCTGCTGACTCCAACTGCTCATTTTACTTACTACAATGTTTGATCAAATTAATTTGAAGTAAGCCAGGCATGATGGCACACACCTGTAATCCCAGCACTGAGGAGGCAGGGGCAGGTGGATCTCTGAGTTTGAGGCCAACCTGGTCTTTGTAGTGACATCCAGAACATCTGGCTTTTAGTCACTATCTTTGTTACTTTTTAAATTTTTAATTGTCTGACTTATGCAAGGTTTTTATGGCATCCTATGGAACTCATCTTTATTGAACTTCATGTCAGTGCTCTGTTTTACAGAGTGAACAGAGTCACTCTTTTGGAAGGAAGTAGCTGGGGAGAAGCAAGTGTTTATTTCTGTGCTAGAACATGCCTTACACCTGCCACACACGCTGAACTCTGGAAATTTGTTCTGTGCCTTCTGATGTTAAGCTTGGTAAAGGCCCATTACTAAGCCCCTAGCTTCTCTCCTGTGCGTTCCTCCTGGGTTGTCTCGTTCTTCCATGGTGTGAGGTGTTGGGCTTGTTTGTTCCTTATTCACACTCTTGGACTCTAAAGTTTCAGGAGCTGAGATTTGGTTTAGCTGTGTTTGTTCGTTAGTTTGTTTCAAAATAAACAAAACTATTTCCCCCAAAAGGAAGGAGCTGTGAGGTCTGAATACTGCTGCTTAGAGGCCTAGAGATGCGTTCATCTCCTCGGCTCAAGAAGTGGCTGTAATCCTTACCTTTTGAATGGATAGTAGTGACAGCTTTGAGTTATCTGGGCTGAAGAACTTTCACTTTTTAATGCTGTCATTAAAACTAGCCAGAATTTAATAATTAGGAATGTCATGAAAAAAACAGACGGTTTAAGTAGACCGGTAAGAAAGAGCAAAATGTAAATTACTTCACATGTGGCTGAATTAATTTCAAAGTTTAAGATTTTGTCTAGATGCACAAAAAAATGGATCTTCATTATTCTGTGTATAGAAAAGGCTGTAAAGTTTATAAACATAGAAAAAATAAATGTTTTTAAGTATATGTTTAATAATTCCAAATTTTGAATTTTCTTTCTTTTTTCAGCTCTGATCGTCTGATAGAAGAAACAATAAGGTAGGGATGGTTTTTGTTTTACTTCATTGCTGTTTGTTTGCACACTTAATTAACAGATCAAGTCAACGCTGTTCACTAGAGTAAAGGTCAAGTCATGCACCTTAAGAGATGAAAATTTCACTAGATGGTAATGCATTTCTGCTGTGGCCTTCCTTTATAAGGGACATTTAATCTTAGTAACTGGTTCATGAGATAGACATTGACCAGTAGAGTCCATCTCCAGAACGAAAAGAAATCAAGGCTATGCCTATGGTCACATGACTAATAAGTAATATTGAGGACTCAGATCCCCAGATCAGAATCTCTTTATAGCTCTAGAGCCACAGCATTTATACTAAACCAGCGTCTGAGACAGTGAGATGGCTCAGAGGATACAGGTGCCTGCCACCAAATCTGGTGACCGGACTGTGGGGCCTGTGTGGTGGAAGAAGAGAACCAGCTCCTGACAGTATTCCTCTGACCTGCCTGCACAGGTGGCACAGAAGCACTCACGTGTACACATGATATGTGCAGACACAGACACACACATATACACAAGGTAAATTAATGTTTAATATGTAAGGATGCTTAGTTTATGGTACTGGTAAGAAATCTGAAGTTCCAGTAAGCATATGAATGATGTATTGTTTTTAAAACATTATATATTATATGAAGCTTATGTTTTGTCTCTAAGTATTTGACACTTGAAATAATAGCCTTCATTTCACTCAACTCAGCTCCAGATGATGGGATGATTTGGGAAAATATGTCTAGATAGACTTTATGTGGTACTGGAAATCATGCATATTCAACAGGGTAATAATTTAATGTAATATCCATTCTCCAAGGAATACAAAGTGCTTTGTGGAAATTATTTTTTAATGTCTATCCACTTGTGAGTCAGAGTGCACATGAGATAATGGTAGTCCCCCTTTAAAAACAGAGGCCTGTGTATTTCAGACTGTCCTCCTTACTCAGCATGGGTTTGAATTCTGTTACTTTCTGTAAGACCACAAAGCTAGTTAAAGTAGGAGTGCTTTATTCAAGTCCCTTGTAATTTCAAGCAGAAGTTGGTCATTTTCTGATGCTCCTGCTGCTTTCATGTCTTCCTGATACTTTCAAAGGCTCCTCTGAGCCAAATGGCACATGCCTCTAATCTCAGCTCCTAAATGATGGCCTGGATTCTAGGATCTTCATGACATGGCCTGGCCTTCATCACACTCCTGGAACTGGCCATTTACAAGACCACCAGTGTGGAATTTGTGTGCTTTAGAGACAACTTGCCCGTAGCCTTCCTTGGCCAGAGCCCCACAACTAGCTTTCTGGTTGTGGCAGCATCAGAAAAGATAGTCAATTCTTCTGCCTCTTTTGACATATGGCCCCTTCGCCTGTCAGTAACTCTCATTGCCCTTCCTAGCTTGAGTGACCATCTCCTGACCAGCTCTTTGGACAACTACTCCCTGATTTTTCCAAATAGCCTGTCCCAAACTGAGCTCATCCTATGCCTTTCTGATTTTGTTCTTTGAGGTCACTGGCTTTGTAGGGTGCTTCTAATATTTTTGTTGCCTCCCCCCAACACACTATTCCAAAATGCTTCAGTAAATATTCTTCTAGGTGTCTCCTTACGCATTCCTTGTCTTCTCAGTCCTGAAGTTACAGTGTTGGTTAGTTTGTCATCCCTCTAGCGGCTCCCTTCATTGGACCACCTGGTGGTTTGTTCTGTGAGGCTGCCCACGAAGGGCCGGCAGTTTACCAGCAATGGGTGGCCCCTTGACTTGTCCCCTTCAAGAGCTGAGCATCTCACTAGTAGCCTCTAAGTCTTTCTGCAAGTACAGGAGCCAAGGGGAATTGAGCCCATTACTTCCAGCCTCGGGACACCTGATATGATAGGATAAGAGGGTAGAACCTACTTTGAAAAGAAAAAAAGGATAACATAGATATGATAAAAAGGTGTAGATTATTGCAACACCATTACAGACACATGGCTCACAGGTTCCTACTGTCAGATTCCCTGTATTTCTTGTAGGTATATGTAGCCCCTCCAGCCAACTGTCTTACTTAGAGCCTGCAAGGGAACCAGGGCTTCAGATGGTCCTTCCGCAGCGTGAGTGCTTTTGTCCCTGGAGATGGGTCAAAGCTAAGTCAGGAAATTGGATCTAGCTACTATTTTTCCCTAATTTCTGTTACTGATATCTGGGGCAATAAGACTTGAAAATACATGATCATGGAAGTGATAGCAAAAAGAGTATTATCTCCGATTCTCAACAGTATCTCAGAGTGATTTCATGAAGAGGCTGCATTCTATGAAAAAGCAACATTACCCCTTTCCCAGTTACATTTAGTGAGTCCCAGATCTGCCTCCTGATTCCCTAGAATTTCGAAACCTTGTTTGTTTATATGTTAAGAGCTGATTGAATGTGGATACATACTTGGGACACTGTTTTTATGGTTATGATTCTTCTTAGCAGTTTTTCCTGATTAAAATTGTTTTAATAGTTGGACCTTTTTAAAGCCATTAGAGCAGCTTTGTAATGTATGAATTGTCTCATAGCATCTCATTTCATTAGTTACTTCAAAGAAAACACAAGATGACTCATAACAAAGACTTTGTTGGGTAACAGCGGGTTAAGTGAGAAAAAGACAGTGGGAAGTTTGCCAGGCAGTGATTTGTACCCATTTCCTGCCTGGTCATTCCAGGATTGTTTGCTCACTGTGCTTTTAGAGATGTGATGGATTGAGCAAGGTAATTAATTCTCCATCGCCAACCCAGTTGTTTCTTTTCCTCCCCTCTTGAAGCATTGCTATGGCTACGAAAGAAAATATGACTTCTCAGAGAGGAATGCTCAAGTCCATTCACAGCAAAATGAACACTTTGGCCAGTATCCTTTTTGAAATCTGTTGGTGGGGTGAAAGTCCCTCTCCCCTCCCCCATTATATAGGGATAGAGGAGCAGGTCACCAGCATTGGTGGCTGAAGAGCTCCTTAGTAACCACATCATGTGAGGGCTTCCTGCTTTGTGGGAAACTTAGGTTTAGCACCATTTCTAGGGGACAGCATTCTGGAGGGTTAATACTAAAGATTTAGATTTGTAAAATTATTCACAGTATTTTTCTATCCTTAAAAGCTCTGGATCCAAGTTAGTACTCCCTGCTTGCGTTCTTAACCACCCAACACTGTGTCTCTGTTTTCTGATTTGCCACAGTGGAGGACAAGTCAGTCGCAGGAAGGGAGGGGACACTGTGCAGGTGTGTGTAACTGCGGTAGAATATGGTGACTGCACAAGCCCAGGTTCAGAGTAGTCTCTGCTTGTTAGTTTTTTGTTTTTGTTTTGTTTTGTTTTGGATTTTCGAAACAGGGTTTCTCTGTAGTTTTTGGTGCCTGTCCTGGAACTAGCTCTTGTAGACCAGGCTGGCCTCTAATTTACAGAGATCTGCCTGCCTCTGCCTCCCGATTGCTGGGATTAAAAGCGTGTGCCACCACCACCTGGCATCAGTTTTTAAATGTTTAGCTTCCCAACTCAAAATAGGATTGCTTCAAAGAAGTGGGGGGGGGGGGTCCCAAATGGATGTAGGAAGGACCTAAGATTTTTCAAAAGTTGGGTATCATCTGGCCAACAGTAATTAAGGATACTTTTATTCTGATAATCTATTTTCCCCACCTTATCCCCCCAAAAAGGATATACCTGGCATTGCTTGGCATTTTCCAGTCCTTTATCAATTTTCTGATAGTCTAGTATAAAAACCACAATCCCAAACCACTCAGGTTCATATAGTGCTGCACAGTTTATACAGTGCTGTTCTGTGACATCGTGTTTTGTAAGTCCCATAAAAGGAAAAAACAGGAACTTATTGACTTTGCAGAACTATTTTAAATTTTCATGCTTTTTCTTTCTTTGTGTGTATATATGCATGCATTCATTGCATATTTCTGTGGTACACATGTGTCCCTATCTTTTACCTAGACTGAGACAGGGTTTCTTGTATGAAGCTATATCCCTCCAGCTAGCTGACTCTTAAGCTTCTAGGGATTCTCTTGTCTCTACCTCCCATCTTCCCACATTTTATGTGAGTCCTGGGGATTCACACTCAGTTCCTCGTGCTTGTACAGCAAGCGCTTTTGTTCCCTGAGTCATCTCCTCAGCTCCCAGTGCATTTTTCATGCATTTCCATCAAATCAGATCATACCATAATGTCCCTTCCCTCAGGTGATATTTCTCTCTGTCACCCAGTGTGAGCTTGCATCTCCAGAACTCACATAAAAGGTGAAGACATAGTCATTCTGGGGTGATGCCAACACACTCATTTATTCACCCCATATATGGGACTACTCTAGACCGAAGTACAGATACCACCAAAGTGCAACTTGGTGAGCCAGTGACTTCTGTTGTTGTCACTTACAGGAATATGGATGCATGGTTACTTACGGTAGAAGTGACTCACAGACAGCAGCATTACCAGGGCCCACCCCAGCAGGGGTGACAGCTCACAAAAGCTGGGAAACTTAGAGCACACTGCACAGCCTGCAGGCAGCTCACAGGTTGGAGAGTGTCCTTTTCAAGTGGCTTTGGTCTAAACCTCGTATAGGTAGCTAATCTGTTTTAAGAGTCGTTTCATGTTAACTCTGCTTACTCTGGCAGGGAGGGGTCTAGTGAATCTGGTCAGTTTCAGGGACTTCCTAAAGCTATTTTGAGTTGTCTACCTTCTGGTTTAAGGAGCTTCCCTATATGATGGAATGTTTCAATCTCACAGGAAACTGTTACACAACATCCGGCTAGTAAGAACTCCTAGACTCTGATACTCCAACCTCAGCCCCAGAAGAACCCGAAACACTATATTTATTATAAGTTAGCAGCAAGAGCAGAGACAGCTTAGTAAATGTAAAAGGGTTTGTATTTTGTATGACCACTGAAAATAAGCCCCAAGTCCATAGCAGGCAATATGCTTGGCTTGGATACTGTTCCTTTAGGACTTGGGGCTTAGAGGACACATACTTTCAGAGAGAAGGCACAAAACAGAGGTAACAAATTTGAATGGAAAACTCAGTTTCAACTAGTATGTAAAGTAGCCCAGCTATCCAGCTGCCACTTCAATTTTTTATTTTAAGTTTTGAGAGAGGGTTCTACTGTGTAGCCCTGGCTGGCCTTAAACTTAAGAGATCTGTCTGCCTCTTCTTCCCAAATACTGGGCTTAAAAAGAAATTGTGCTACCACACCCCTGGTTTCTATTTTATTTTCAGTGTGTGCTCTCTCCTATCACAGATCTCTTCTTTCTCTGTGTTAGCCTGCCTCTCCCCTTATGACAGATGACTACAACACAGCTCGAAGACCATAGGAAAAGAACAAACTTGCCAACAGCTGTCAGCGTATCCCCTAGCCTAAACCAGTGCCCATTCAGAGCTAAGCTACTGCCAAGGGAAGGACTGTTTACTACCTGAGTATAGATGCTTCTCCCTGCAGAGCTTGAGAGGAGCAGGCAGTGGTGCCTTTAATCCCACCATCTGAGAGACAGGTGGATATCTGAGTTCAAAGCCAGCCTGGTCTACAAAGCAACTTCCAGGACAGCCGTAGGACTGTTGCACCAAGAAACCCCGTCTCAAAAAAAAAAAAAAAAAAAGAAAAAGAAAGAAAGAAAGAAACAAGAGAGGAATAGTTCCCAGAGATAAACTAAAAAAGAGTGTTCTTGACCACAGTCAAGGTTTTCTGATGCCACAGTTTTATGTTATTTTTTTTTATCTGTGTGTGTGTGCACTCATGCAGAGGCCAGACGGTTTAACTGAAGTTACAGGTGTTTGTGGGTTGTAGAAACAGAACTTAAGTCTTCTGGCAGAGCAGCAAGTGCTCCTGACCTCTAACCATCTCTCAAGCCCCTGATGATTTCTTTATCCCTGCATTGAACATAAAACAATGAAGACTTTTCTCTGGGAAGTTTTCACTTTGTAAAAGGTTTTGTCACTTTGATACATATGTCCTGTTCCTGACTTTTAAAACTGTTTCTCTGTCGGTTGTCCCTTTGGTCCTACTCAGAAATACACTGATGCCAGGAGTATGTGCTCAAGACAGTGAAGAAATTCTAGTTATGCTTATACGATGTGTAGAGTCTGCACATACACAAGTAATGTGTCCCTGTGAGAGTCCTAGAGGGACCAACACTGCACTTTTTATGAAGAGCGTGGTCGATGGTCTTTTTGAACTTGATGTATTGTCTCTACCAACATGGATAGTGCAGCTGCCCTGGTGTACACAGCAGGGAGTGTATTAATGACTTGAAGTACTAAAATACGGTTGGGATGGTTATCAAAGCCCAAAAAATTCAAATTTCTCTCTCTCTCTTTCTCTGTCTCTCTCTCTGTCTCTGTCTCTCTTTCTCTCTCTGTCTCTCTCTCTCCAGTTCCCAAATAGAGCAGCAAGAGCATTTAGCCCATTTTCCTGCTACAGTTGCTAATCACTGCAAAGCAAACCTAAAATTTTAAATAATTCTTAGTGCCCAACTACCTGAGTCCAAAAAGGATTCCTTCCTGGGGCAGAGAGGGGTCGGGTTTTCTTCAGAATTCCTGTCTCTGAGGGGAGGGCAAAGGACAGAAAGGGGAACTTCAGAGCCAGCCCAGAAGCCCTGGTGGACTCTGGCAGCTGTCCATAGTCTCTCCACTGATTTTCTTCCATTGTTCTTGCATGTGCACTTTGCAGACTAGGTGGATTGAGTTTGCTCCTATTTGGGAATGTGGGTTCCTTTCTCTTCCCCATGCTTTCTTGTCATTTGCTGGTTGGACTCCACTGATGGCTGTTTGTGAGTCCTGTGCCTTTTAAATACCCCTCTCAAGTATGACCTTAACTAAGTTTCAAAGACCGTTTTCCTGCTGTGAACAGCCTGATACAAAGGATCAACCTTAGGAAGCGACGTGACTCACTCATCCTTGGAGGGGTCATCGGCATCTGTACCATTCTGTTGCTGCTGTATGCATTCCACTGAAAGGATGGCCCCAGGACTCTGCCCACCACCTTCCTGCCCTGATCGGGAGTGGGGAAATGAGGAAGGAGAAAGACTGCCCTGGCCATGAACCTGCCAGCCAGACGAACTCTAAAACTGCATCCATGACTCGGACCTGGTCAGACTGAGCTGAAGCCAGTTTTTCTGTGCTATCTTTTCTAATGCACATTACTGTTTTTAATTTTAAAAACAACAACAAAAGGCTTTCAGTTGCTTGTGTTTCCCTGGAGGTAAGCAGGCAGAAGCCGAGAACCTGGGCTTCAGTAACTGGAGAGGCCTGATGGCCAGTGAGCCTCATCGCTGGCCTCCTCACAGTGCCAGGCTCTCCACATCCAAAGATGGCTTTGCCTTCAGCCGTGAGACTAGATGTGAATAAGAATAATTCTTGTCCTTTTATTTAACACTTGTGATGGGAAATCAGCTGTCCTCTGCTGACACTCTGATCTGGATTCTACTCTGTGGCCCTCACTCTTGGCAGTCAAGAACAATTCCATTTTGCACCAATTCTGTAGGATGCCAATGCTCAGCTTCATCACTGAGTTTTCTGAAACAGAGCACGGTAGAAAGGGTATGTCTCAGCCGGAGCTGGAAACACATCAAGAGTGCAGGCCTGGCACTGAGGAGCTGGTTATTGCTTGTTAGTTCTTCCATTGGGTTAATATTTGCTTCTATACGATAAAATCACATTTCCGCTCTGACAGACAACAGCCAGTGTCTGTCATTACCCCTAGTGGCCCCTTGTCATGTGAAGATCAATACTAGGAACCAGGGGAGGGAACTGTGGCTCTCAGTGAGATGGCTGTCCGTGTCATTCCATCTGACCACGTTCTACAGCCTGGAGTAAACCTGATTCCCAGGCACGCCTCCCTGTAAGGATCTAGTCACTCCTCATCCCTTAGGCTCCCCTGCATCCCCAGGCCGTGGTCTCATTGTTGAAGGTGCCTGTGATGCCTGTCCGCACCTGTTTATTGCTGTGGACAGTGACTGAGATGTAAATGCTTTTTAAGCTTAGCCATTCTCAGCATCTGAAATTGGTAACTTGTCTTACTAAACTAGCAGATATTTTAAAGGCCTCCAACATCTGTGTCCACCAAGAGAGAAGGCTGCGAGCCCCCACTAGAGTATCCTCTGGCACCACAGGCAATGAGAAGGAAGATAATCAGGGTGTAGCCTTCACCACCTCATGGTGTGGGAGTGGTGCCTCTGGGCAGACTTGATTACTTAGTGCTCACGGATGTCTGACATCTGATTTGGGACTGACTGAGGAGAGGTTTGTCATTCTGGTGTCGAAGTGTTAGTACATTCTGGGTATGAAAGGCATTTGATATATTTTTCTTAATTATGGGGTTTATTTTTCTAAATATGGGTTAATCAGCTTGTTGACTAGGCATGCCCTTAAAAGGAAATTAAATTTTCCACTGTGGGCCTTAAAGAATCAGGGAAGTTTGTTTGCTAAATTCTCTTTGGGAGAACAGAACTTCTCTTCTCTGACACTTTATTATCTTTGATTTTTTTTCAAAGGGCCCCAGTTGGTGGTTGTGCCTCAGCTAGGCTTTATGGGACTTTGGTTGTTATATAGTGGGCATACATAAAACTTGAAGTATCCTAAATAAAGTTATTTATTTAAATATACTGCCAGTCTTTTCTACTGGTTTGATTACTTGGTTCATCCACTAAAACTGCTGAAGGAGAGTAAGCTAGCCACAGCACAGCGTGCAGGTGGCAGTGGCTGCTCCAGGATGCTGTGCGCAGGTGAGAGGATGAATTATGTGTCTGTATTTTCCGAAAGTAAATCAGTTCTTCCGAGGACACTGCCGGGAACACTCACTGTGGATGCTGGAGCCTGTGGTCGCTGGGGTCCAGAGTCTGACTGACCTCCAGGTGTGGTGTCCCTGAGGGGGAGGCTGCTCCTTCCCTTCCGGTCCCGCTCTTTATAGGACTCTGTGGTTGCTGAATGGAACTTCAGTTTTATGACGTTGAAATTTTTTTAAGTCCTCTTTGTTTCCCCCTGTGGGCTATCCTTACATACCCAGTTTTCAGGCTCAGGAGCCGGCAGTTAGTTCTGGTCTGAGCCTGAGGTTAGAGGGTTTTTGTTTTGTAATCCCAATGAAATGTTGGCTTCTTAGGAAAGATTTGTTCTTTTTTTTTTTACATAATACTTTTTTAAAAAATATTTTTAGTAACCATTCAAAACTTCCCACTTAACTAAAAGATATGAAAAATGGAAACAAACAGCAGAAAATTTCAAATGTGTGTTTGTCTGGACAGTAGCTCACTGTTTAGCCCTCCCTGGCCTTTAACTTCTGCCTTGGCCTCCTGAGACCCTTGGACTATTGCTATCTGATGCATGCCACCACACCTGGTCCAACAGTATTTTTTTGTCTTGCTGTGTCCAGTGACTTAGTAAAGCTGCTCGGTCAGTTGTTACTGAGATCCACAGTGAGGTGGCTGTCCTGCAGTCTCTGGACTTGAGTGATGCCCAAGGAGTCTCTGCCACCTGTATTAGTCACCTTTGATTTTCCCTTCCCCTTGCTACCAAATCTACTTTTATTGAGAATGTCTTTTTCCTTTCTTCTGGTACTCAGATCAAATGTGGGAATCTTAGAAGTTAAGGATGGAGACAAGTAAGGAAAGAGCTACCACGAGGATGCTTTTGTACCTAGAATCAGATACTTACCTGGGCACTTCCATGTTGGGTGTGGACTGTGAGTGGAAATGCTCCCTGGTCCCCTGATGCAGTGACCTGGGACCGAGGAGTTGAGGGACCTTGATTTTCACCCCCGCCATTACTACCCTGTGTCATTGCTGATGTTTGGAACCCAAGGGAGTAGCATTTAAGAATGGGTCTAACCATTCTATCTTCTGTCATTAACTAGGTAAAAGTTTTGGAAATTCACTGAGTTTTCGAACTTGTAATGTTAAGTTGTTGGGATAAACGGCTGTACCCAAGCCATTTGTGGCAAAGGTGGCAGAGCAAACACACCTACTTACAAGACTGAGTGTTCTCTGTTCTCCATTTATAGTAGGGTCTCCAAAAGGGTGGAGAACTTCCCACTGTGGTCCCAAACTTGGCTGTTCATTCCTATGTGTGCCTGCACACCCCCTTCTTGGGGAATCAGGGACAAGAGCGGGATCTAAGCATGGTGTCAGGTGAGAAGTGAAGAAGCCAAGCCATGGCTTTAAGGGTCTTTCTGTCTCTCCTCTTTTTTCCTTTTGGTATCTGATCTAAAATCATAGCACCAGAATATTTGTGTCACACCCTTGTAGCTCTTAGAGATGGGAGCAGAATCAGTTCTGATCACACTTTATTCTCATGGGATACAGTCTTCATGGAAAATGCCAATACCAAGTTTTTTAATCTATTTTTTCCAGATGCACTTTCTAATGTTTTGCTTTTAAAACGGCTTCTTGGAACCAATATTATTGTATTTGTACTTAATTTTTGTTCTCATCTAAATGTGCATTTTCTGACTGTATAGAAGAAACTTTGTTATATAATTTAATAAATTAAATACCTAAATATCATGCCTGTGGTTATCTGTGCTGGCGAGACGACTGTGTGCCCCATCGGACTGTGTCGACCACTGCTGCAGAGGACTTCTCAGGATGTCCCAAGCCTTCGAATGAACAGTCGGGTGGTCGTTTGAGCTCAAGGATGAAGGAAAGGGGCTGGCAAGATGGCTCGGCAGTCAAGAGCACCGGCTGCTCTTCCAGAGGACCCAGGTTCAATTCCCAGAATGTTTGTGGTACAGACATACATAGTAAAGCACCCGTCCACATAAATTTTTTTAATGACTATCTTTATCATAAAATGTCAGGGGTTATGGCAAAAGTCTAAAAATGTGTATTTGTCAGAAATGTATATCCTCACCTTCTTAAATAACTATTTGACCTTGATTCTCCAGAAAATGGAAGCACATTTCCTGCCCATGAACCAGATGGTCTTAGTTTTCTGTCTCTTTTTAAGATGATACTGTCAGGGGCTGGAGAAATGGCTCAGAGGTTAAGAGCATTGCCTGCTCTTCCAAAGATCCTGAGTTCAATTCCCAGCAACCACATGGTGGCTCACAACCATCTGTAATGGGGTCTGGTGCCCTCTTCTGGCCATCAGGCATACACACAGACAGAATATTGTATACATAATAAATAAATATTTTAAAAAAAAAGATGATACTGTCAGGGCTGCCTATAGCTCAACAGGAGAGCACTCACTGAGCATGCAGGAAGCCCTGGCCTTTCGTCTCAGTACCACAAAAATCAACAAACAGTATAATGTGTGCAGTCCATGTAAAGTTTAGCCTTGTAAAGTGTACTCACGGGTTTTCATGTGCCCATTAGATAACCGCAAGACGAACCAGAGCATTGCCTCACTGCAGAAAGAAGCCCTGCCCCACACAGCAGCTTTTGTTTGCTTGTTTTGGTTTTGTTTTTTGAGACAGGGTTTCTCTGTAGCTTTGGAACCAGTCCTGGAACTTGCTCTGTAGACCAGGCTGGCCTTGACCTCACTCTGATGGGACTAAAGGTGTGCGCCACCACCGCCTGTCCCCTCTGCCCCTTTTATCTGAGCACATTGTTCTCCCTTTCTCAGCACTGCAGCCGTCCCCTCCTGACCAACATGGCTTCTAAAGTGCCACCTCTGCTCTTCCGTGGGCATCCTAACCTTACAACCCACTGTGTGCTGCGTGTGGTTGTGTGTGGGTGTGCGCACGCATGCACGTGTCTTGCGCACATCCAGTACCTTCATGTAGGTAGCCTTTCCATCTCATAGATAGGAAACAGCTGGAGCTTTGCTCAGTCACCAAGTGAGAGGTGAAAGGATCTGAGTGTTGAGGGCTTGTTTTTCCTGGGCTGGGGGTGGAAGCCAGGGTTCTGTGTATTCTAGGGAGTGTTCTACCACCAAGCTATGTCCCTAGTCTTGAGGGCTCTTTGATGTCAAATCTTAACACTAGTTTTACAAAATCTTTTTAACTCTAGTTGTCTGGTGAAGAAATAAGGGAAATAAAAATCATTGATTTTGCTTAAAAGTAATCATTTAGAGTTTTATAACATTATTTCAAAGGCATGCCATTGTCTAAGGGCTTCCTGAGGGGCCCCGTCTGTAAGTTACATTTGTGCATGAGTACTGGCGGGTTGCAGTGGAGTCAAAGAAAGTGCTTAGGTCACTGGTTTAGATGGCAGCTTCTCTGCCCGCTGGCACCCTCTCTAGCCCTCGGTTCTTCCTGGCCAGCACCAAGGCCTTGGATGAGAAGGCAGGGATACCATTCTGAAGGTGAGCCCTCTGTAGGCTGCTGTTGCTACTTGCCCAGCCCTTTCCTCACAAAAGGCCATGGCTCGGCCCAGGGCGCCCTGGTCTCATAGCAAGAGAGGGCTAGAAGTAGCAAGTCTGTTGCTGGAAGCTCACTAAAGATGTCTGCCATCAGGACATTTTCCTTAGCGTGAAAGCTGGGAGAAAAACAAGTCTGAGAATGGATTGAGTGGCTGAGATGTGGCCAACAGGATTCTTCACCTTGGCTACAGTTCCCCAGCTCAGCAATGCCGCTCCGTGGGCAAAGCTCTTTTCTATGCTAACTCTCAGTCGAATCTAAGAGGACCAGGTGTTGAAGTTTTAACTTCCTTCTTAGAAGAATTCCCACGATGGCCGGAAGACACCCCCTCAACGTGGTCCTTCGATAACTGTCACCCTGACATCTCTGGTTTTCTGTTTGCCTCCTTTTACAAGATGTGGCTTTTAGCAAATGGTCACATATCTTAATCCATTTATTCTGTATATTTTCAAACACCCAACCTTTTGCAGAAATGCCTTACGTCTTGAGCAGCACACTACTATGGTTGGTATTTAAGCCAGTGCCAGTAGGGTAAGGTTTAAACAATTCCCTAAAAATTAGACCCTTGAGGTGAAGGTGGCATCCTAGAATATGTCCACCATCCTCTTCGTTCCCCTCTCCCCATCGTGTCTCACAAACAAGCTAGTCCTCGCTGCCTGACTGGCAGCTTCTGTGGGCATGCCCTGCCTCCATCTAACCTCTTTGGCACCCTGCATATAGCAGCCTACCTTAGCTTCCTAACTACCCATGACCTGTCACGACTGTTGAAGAGCATTCCTAGCCTCTAACATGTGAAGGAATGATAAAATTCCTTCCCTGGATGAGACAAAACTGTCTACTCCTCCTGTGAACTCAACAACAAACTGAGGAACAATTCTTCCAGAATTGACCCTGGGGAGCCAATGGGTTGATGAGACTTGCTTACAAAGCAGTGGGCCGGGGGTTCTGGGCAGGAGCACGCGTGACCAAGCAGCCACACTGGATAACGAGACCCAGCATGACCTCCTCTGTGGTTCCATAGATGGAGCCCTTTCCCCTAGTTCTTCCCAGTCTGTGTACTCTAGCCCAACCCTTAGGCATGTGTCATTAGGGTAATCAGGACAGAGTTGTACATAACTGGTTAGGGGGGACTAGATACTTGGATGAGACTCCCGTGACCCCCTCCTGTGAGGGAACACAGCAGTCAGCAGGCCCAGCTGGAATAATCTTTTGTGATTAGGCCAGAAGAACTGAAGATGGTAGCAGTTTGGCTCAGAAGATGGCCCTAGACTAGTGGTTCTCAACCTGTGGGTTGCAACCCCTTTAGGGTCAAATAATCCTTTCACAGGGGTCCCCTGAGACTATCAGAAAACACAGATATTGACATTACGATTCCAACATTACGAAGTAGCAGTAAAAATAATTTTATGGTTGGGGTCACCACAACATGAGGAACTGTATGAAAGGGTCACAGCATTAGGAAGGTTGAGACCCACTGCCCTAGACAAACTCATCTTGTTCTTACATTATTTCTACAATCTCCCCAAGAAACCCCAAGCCTCAAAGGAGGTTAGATAAAAAGCCTGGGGCCCTATCTGTGATCCCTGTCTCTGACATATTTTGGAGAAGGAAATCCAATGTGAGGAGAAGGATGAAAACAGGTGGACATAGACTGTCCCCTCAGGCCCCGCGACCTGGGCATCATACATGGCTTTTCTCATAGCTGGTTCCCTCAGTAGTACCATCTGTCCCTTCTGTTCACTTCCTGCCCTGATATCCGTGGTGACCTCCTCTGCTAGTGATCAAGCTCCATGAGCGGGCCCATCGGTTGCCCTTGTATTAACCGCAGGTTCCATTGCTTGTGTCAAGGACAGGTGTGTGGTTACATTGTTTGCTTCTCTGTGTCCCCTGAACCCAAAGTGGTCTAGTCCTCTTCTTCCCCCACAACCTCATAAACCAGCCTGTGAGAGTCAGTCTCTGTTTGTGAAGCTCCTTCCTGACTCCCACAGCTCCAGCTCCGGTCCTTTCCTGAAGACGCCAGGCTGTCTTTAAGACCCTGACTACGTGCTTGGTCGGATTCTTCTTTTCTCTGTACCAGAGGCTGCACCTGAGGGTATCTCCTGTCACCTCTGTCACACCCTCTTCCCAGGGGCTCCAGGGAGGGCTCATTAATACAGATAATCTGTGTTCTTTTTACCCCTTGCCCCCCCCCCCAGTCTCGAGAAGCCCTATGCCAAAACCACATCATCCTCTTTTACCCGATTTCCTGCCGGTTCAGAGGCTAATGTGGAGAATGTTGGGCATGTGTGATTTATATTTCGATTTTCTAAACACACCATCTCCATGTGGACAGCCACCTCTGCCTGTCCTCTTGCTCTCCATAGCAGCAACCGGGCTGCCTCTGCAGCTCTTGCTGGTACCTCCGCCCTCAGTGTGCCACTCCTGGTCCTGACTGCTGTAGACATCCAGCCATTCTCAAAGTATCTCCATGCATATTGGTTTTTCGAGACAGGGTTTCTCTGTGTTGCTTTGGAGCCTGTCTTGGAACTAGCTCTTATAGATCAGGCTGACCTCGAACTCAGAGAGATCCGCCTGCCAAGTGCTGGGATTAAAGGTGTGTGCCACCACTGCCTGCTTGACTGTTAGAATATTTTATCATTTTCACAGATTGTTTTATGTGTAGAATACTAAGAAAGATATTCAAGAAACTGGTTTCAAAGTGGCCTAGGGGGAAAGAGTGATCGTCTGGATATCACAGACAGACATGGAGGACTTGATTCTATACACAACACAGATAGTATTTTTTAATAATCTTAATTAGATATATTTTAACTTTAATTTTTTTGTATGTTATATGTATGAGTGTCTTGCCTGCATGTGTGTCTGTGTGCCATGTTTGTCCAGTGCCTGAAAATACCAGAAGAGGACACCATAACCCTGGAACTGGAATCATAGGGGCTGTGGGGCGCCCTCTGGGTGCTGTGAACCAAATCCAGGTCCAGTGCAGGCAGGATCACTGAACTCTCTCTCCCTCCCTCCCTCCCTCCCTCCCTCCCTCCCTCCCTCCCTCCTTCCCTACCTATCTCTCTCTCTCTCTCTCTCCCCCTCCCTCCCTCCTTACCGCTCTCTCTCTCTCTCCCCCTCCCTCCCTCCCTCCTTACCCTCCCCCCTCTCTCCAGTCTTCTAAATTATATTTTTATAAAAAGAAACCAGCTG